AAGAATGGGGACAAGACCAAAATAAATGACTTTTTTGGAGCCAGTTGACAAAATAAGTATGTTACATTAATGTCCTTTTTATATCTTTGCAAAAATATTGTCATATTCCATTTAACATTTCCATCATTACTGTTAATAAGTAACTCCTGTGCTTTTCCTATGCTGACGTTGTGAATCTTGCTTTCTTGTTACTGTACTGATTTATTTTTATAATACCATATTTATGGTATATCATCTCTCTTCATTCTTCTCAAATTTGTTACCACTATCATCACTGTCACTATAAGTTTGTTGTATTTAATCCAGTACTGTTTGCACAGTTTCACAATTGCTCCCAAAACCCCAAAGGCCGACTCCTGCAAACACTTTATTCTGTTTATTTGCACACTTCTGCCTTCTTTTAGATGTGAATCTTTTTCTCTTTCTCCGTCACTCCACCTCTGTCTCTCACACACATAAACATACACGTTTGACATTTATTACATGGTGAAAGAAGAACTGTGCAACTTGTAGCAATACAATTATATAAAAACAAAGTAAATGTCCTGTATTCATAACTTTACCTAAGTAGAAGTACAGAAGTACGATCAGCAGGATCTACTTAAAGTGTCAAAAATAAAGTATGCATTAGGCAACCACACTATAATATACTGGATTACTATTACTGATGTATATATTTACATTTTAAAGCAGGATAAGGCTACTTGCTACTGCTTTATATACTCTTGGGTAGTTAAATCTAAAACAATGCAACAAATCATACACAGCAAGACATATAAGCTGCTCATACGTTTGGTTTTGTGATAATCAAATTAGTAACTATAGCTGTTGATGAGATATAGTTCAGTAAAAAAAATACAAAACCTTCCTTAAGATGCTGTGGAGTAGAAGTAGAAAGGAGCATAAAACAGGACACATAAAGGGAAGAGCAGGAGTTATGGAGTGAAACTGACATTGAGTTTTTCCTGCCCATTAGTGTGTTATTTACAGCCCATTCAAAATTCTTTGCATATTTGTCGTCAGTTTCTTTCATACTCTCATATATTTTTTTTAAACTGTGACTTTTTTAATTACCCTCCCACTCTCTACAAGAACTTCTTTTCCATCCTCTCTCTCCTCTCGTGTAATCTCTCTCTTCTTCTTCCTCAGGAGGTAATATGCAGCCACACTTCCCACCACCGTGAAGCTGAGGGCCAGAATCACAAAGCCCAGTCCCAGTAAGAGAGAGATTCCTCCTTTAGACTGGTTCAGTTGGTCCCACAGACCCACAGATACACAACTGAAGCCGATGAGAGTTCCCCAAAAACCAAAGGCCAGCATACAGGATCCACAAGACAGCTCAACGCCCCCGGTCACTATGGTGACGCCTGCCACTGAGACGACCCCTCCTGGTAAGGTCACTGTCTCAGATTTAGCGTTGTAGGTTACAGTTGAAGGGACATCAGATAGAGTTGAAGGATCAAGAGTTTCCATCTTGGTTGTCATGGTTGGTTTTTATTCCTTTGTCAGATGGAAAAAAAGTGATTTTGCATGTAACTTCTTCTTCTCCTATAACATGACACACAGTCCTGATTAAAACCACATTAACATCTAGTTTTCAACTGTTTACTGAAGCTATATGATGATAACAATCCATGTTATTATATGGCTACATCATTTCGTCAAAGTTAAGAATCCATGTTG